GTCCTTTTGTGTTGTATGATCTTTGTTTCTAGTTGAAAGGTCAAGACCTAGGTCTGGAAATGATTGAGGGAATAAGAACATATCTGAAAACATTCTGCTGTTACTTTTGTAGTTACTTTTCTCTGATTTTAACTTAAATTCTCTATTTATTATCAATTTTGATCTATGTAAATTTCATTGAATCTTGGTATGTCTGTCTGCATATTGAATTTCAGCACCATTCCTTCAATGGTTCAGATTTGCTTTGGGATTGATTCTCCTACTCTCTTAAAAAAGGTAGAGGTAGGATGCCAGATTCTGTGTAGTACCCTAATTAAAAAAATTATATATATATAAAAAATATTTAGTTGTCAATAGACCTTTATTTTATTTATTTACATGTGGTGCTGAGAATGGAACCCAGGGCCTCAATGTGTTAGGCAAACACTCTACCACTGAGCCATAACCTCAGCCCAGTACTGAAATTTTTTTTCTGGGAACAATTCATATTATAGTTTAAATTTTTTTCCACATTGGCAGGATTATCTGAGGCCCACATAATCACAGGAGATAATAAGGCAGGGGTTATAAACTCCACTGCCTACAAGGGCCAGGCATGTGACAGATGTGCATGAAATAGTGAATTATAAGTCTTAAATGCTTCTTTAGTCTAGTTTATCTGCTGAAAACTGTGGCAAACACCTATTTTTCTCACCAATGGATCTGTAGATCTTTGAAGGTGGGTCTTGTTTAAGCAGCAGTCAGGTCTAGGTCTGCCTCACTTGCAGCAACAGCAATGGGAAAGTGAGGGAAAGATTTCAGATGGGCATTCCTTCAATATAATCTGCTGACATGATTTATTTATCCTGCCCAGAGGTTTGAAAAACAAGATACCTAGGTTTCTGTCCTAATACAGGAATTTATTAGCATTTATGGTTGTATTATTTTGAATTCTTTACTCACTCCCTAACTTAGAAATAAACATCCTTCTCTATAATGTTCTCTAGGATCTTTCATATGGCGAATACTCAGTAAATGCTGTTTTATGAACGATTTTTTCATTTACTTGAATACCAAGATTTTTGATAACTATTTAATTTTTCTTAACTGAAGCTTGGGCTTGTCATTTCCATGTCTCCTGCTTTTTTCCTGCCCTGTTCTCTCCTTTTCTTTCTCCTTTACTTAAAAAAATAGCAGTTATCAATATTAAATAAGATGGAATTGATGAAGAGAATCTAAGGTATAAATTCTTCAACATGCTGGTGTAAAGAGGTTTAAGTTCAAGGTTTCTTTCACAAGGCTAAGTACAACCTGGCCTGTCTGAGATTCTTTGCTTTTGCTTTTAGTTTGAGGATTTAGAGTCAAGTTATTTTTAAAACAAATTCTGTAGGTCTTAAGATCTAATCATATTTCTACGTAATTATAAAGTGAATATAAAAGTAGGTGCTGGGAAGGGAAGTCATTAAAAACATTATAGTTCCCACAAGCTGTCTTGTCTCAGATCCCAGCCGGACAGTCCTTAACATTTTCTTCTCCAACTATAGGCTTGGCGATGCCCCCATCTTGAGTGTGCAGAAAGTTAGCTTGGTGAGATTTCTAGGTCCTTAAGGGTCCAGGTTTCATGTTCATCTCACATTTAATCTAAGATTAGAATGAGAAGGCTTCATTCATTCCTTCGTACAATTAGACTTGACTTTTCTGTAGATGATTATTTTTCTCTTCCTTGCTGATGCTTGAGATGTCTACACTACTGATATTCTTTCAGTTCTTTTATATTTCTCATGTAGGTGTGGTGAAACTTTGTCTCTAACTATATGAAGCTAATTGTATTTTACTGGTATTTCCTGTATGTAAATGTTGTGTTCACTGAGTTTCCAAGAAGCACAGAATTTAGACTCTTCTGGTTTGGTATGACTTCTCTTTCTAACCACCATTGGGGCTGAAGCTGAGAAGTAAACACAACTTGATGTGAAGTGGGTGCTAGAATTCAGGGCTAAATTGTCTGAAAATAAAAAATATTAATGTTGAGATATTTTGACTCATTAAGTAAACCTGAAAAAATAATGAAATTTTGCTCCAGCACCTCATAAGATTGCATATAGCATAAAACTTTTTTTTTTGAGTCTAGAAGAGAGGAAAAATATGTGAAGAGAATATAAAGCATTAGAAATTAGTTATAAAGTATTATTATCCAAGCTCTAATCCAAGCTCAAAATAAAGCCCAAACACACCTAGAGAGCTTTTAATGTTATTCATATGATATTTTACTTTCTCTAAGACTATACTGAATTAGTGCATAAAAATAATGAAGTAGGGAAAATGCCACTTGTTCTTAACTTTTCAGATTAAAAACATTTTCTTTAAAGATGGAATAGTACATTAATACCATATATTTTCATGGTACTTGATGCTTCATTGAACATTTATATATATATCATCCTACTAAAAATGATGGCTTATTTAAACTTTCCACTAAAAAAATAAATCACAAAGGGTTTTGCAGGCTCATTAATCTGAGAACATATCTAAAACCCAGTACATAGATAGTATGTGTAGAAAGACCAGTTTTCAGTTCCTCCATTAGTTCTCACTCTGAAGTATAAGTATTTCTTTATTTTGAAGATCCAGTTTAAACTTTTACTGACAGAAGATTCCCTTGCTCTGATATCTGATAAGTAATTTGATCCATGTTGTTCCTAGTAATAAGAGTCCATGATAAGTTCTTGGATATCTTTAGTTTCCAAAGCAGGATATGTAAGATGATCTCTTAGGTTGTGGGAAGAAAATATTAGAACTTTTGTTGGCATTTCAATCTAGCAAGTGAAATTTGCTTTAACTAACAATCTATGGGTTGATCATCTGTGTGTCAGACTATCATTTATCAGTTTTGTCTATAAGGAAGGGTTACAAAGGGTTGACAGGGGCACATTGATTTCAGTAGTTTAGGATTAATATAGAAAACAACATGGCAACAACTTAAATGGATTATTTGGTAAGCAAATAACTTCAGAATGTATAGAGTAGTCATTGTAGATGATTTGAAGTTTCAGGAATTAAATTACTCAATGTGGGAGAATGCTATATATTTAAAGTACAGATGTTTCTAACATGGCCCAGATCATTATATTAGTTAGATTCTTTTTCAATAACAAAATACACAAACAACCACTTTTTTTCCCCATGTCTCTGTGTGTGCTATTGAGGTATAGATGTTATCAGGAAAGATATAGTCTCAAAAAATAAAAGACTTCTTGAATATAAAATAATCTATATGAGGTAATTTCCTAGGGTGGTAATATTTTCACTTGATAAGAATTTAGATTGCACATCTGGAGCTGAGGGTATAGCTCAGTGGTAGAGTCCTTGCTCACCATATGCAGGGACTTTAATTTGATCCCCAGCATCACAAAACAAACACAAATCATAGATTGCATACGTGTATGTGCATCTATTGAAGCTCATCAAATGTTAGAATTAAGGTTTCTATATTCCACTCTTTGTAAAATTTATCTGAAAAGGAAAAAAAGAATCTTAAACATTAAATTCTACTTAATGATGTGCATGCTGAATTGTGGGGGAATAGTATATTGTTTTTGACTTACTTTGAAGTGCATAAAAAACAAAACAACAAAGGGTTGACAGAGGCACATTGATTTCAGTAGTTTAGGATTAATATAGAAAACAACATGGCAACAACTTAAATGGATTATTTGGTAAGCAAATAACTTCAGAATGTATAGAGTAGTCATTGTAGATGATTTGAAGTTTTGATGAATTGATGAATTGATATTGGATAGAGGAATATTACATGTATAGTAAAAATGGTATTTTTAGAGTCTAGGTGGTAGGTATGTGGATGTTTCTTATAAAATGTCTTCTAAGTTTTCTGTTGCTTTATCCTTGTGCAATCTGTAGCATCCCAGAAGTTGATATCAGATGTGCAAAGGGTACTTCAGGAAGTATCAGTTTTGCTTATATTTTTTAATAAAAACCTGTCAGGCTATTTAGTGTTGTTATAGCAAAATACCTGAGGGCTGGGTTCTTTATGTATGAGTGTATTTGGCTCAGAATTCTGGTTGCTAGAAGATCCAACAGCATGTAGGCTTTGTCAGTTAGCTTTTACTCCCTCTGACTAAAATACCTGACAAGAACAATTTAGAGGAGGAAACATTTATTCTGCCTCATGGTTTCAGAGGTCTCAGTCCATGGTTGGCCAACTCCATTGCTCTGGACCTGAAGTGAGATAAGAACATCATGGTAGAAGGGCATGGTGGAGGAAAGTTCTCAGCTCATGGTAGCTGGGAAGCAAAGAGAAAGTGAGCTAGGAGCAAGGGACAAAATATAAACCCCCAGTGACCTACTTCTCCACCTATACCCTTTTGCCTGTAGTTACCATCCAGTGAGAAGTTCTTTCAAAGGATTGCTCAATCAAATTGATTCATCCACTGATTAAGTTACAGCTCTCAGATCATAATCTAATAATTTCACTTCTGAACATTTGAACATTCCTGCATTGTCTACATAAGCTTTTGGGCAATACCTTATATTCAAACACTAACAGTGGTGAAACTCACCCCACAGGCTGCATCACAATAGGGTGGAGAAGCAGGAAGGGAAATGGCTTTGTGCGGCAGGAGTAAAGTTTATGGGGAAAGCTTGATTAATAAGAACCTCCTCTTATAAGAACTTAGTTACTCCACGAAAACAACATTAATCCCTTCTAAGGCAGTGCCCCAATGATCTAAATACCTTTCTCATTAAAATTTTTTATCTGAACTACAAAACACAGAGGATGATTTGAGTGACCATTTTCACAGTTCTTCCAAGGATGTTACATAGAGTACCAATCTGGATGCATAGGGGAGAAGTTAATTCATTATATATAATGGATGTTCTAGGGTATTAGGGGTTAATTCTGTCCTGGTTAACTATTCCCAGGTTGTTGGATTGTTTTTGTAGCAAATTCTTAAAATGATTTTCTTTGACTTATAGGCTTTATACAAATAATATTTGTTTTTTAGATTACAGGGCCACCAGGCTGTGGAAAAACTCAGTTTTGCATAATGATGAGTATTTTGGCTACATTACCAACCAGTATGGGAGGATTAGAAGGAGCTGTTGTGTACATAGACACAGAATCAGCATTTAGTGCTGAAAGGTAAGATGTTTAATTATTTTCCATTATAATGCTTTATTTTAATAACATATACAGTGTGGAACATTAATAAATAGGTTAATATTTACCTGTTTTTTTTTGGAACAGAGAATGTTAGATTACTTTTTGGTAAGAGTTTTCCTTTTAAAATTGACACAGGACAGTTTTTTGTTTTTATCTCTTTCTTACTGAGGTAAGTGGGGTTCCTGGGTAAGCTGTCTTGTGTTTTGAAAGTTGGTAAGAAAGAAGGTAAAGAAACAGGGAAGAATTTAAGTAAAAAATGAGGAAGATGCAAAACTAAAAAGGAAAAAGAAAATAGATAATTTGCCTTATAAGTAATTTCTAGTTGGAAGTAAAGTGTTGGTGAATGGATATGTCTGAGCTGGGATGCTTATGCATTTGGAGATTGATGTAGTTCTGTTCTCTTGCATGCTTTCTTCTGTGCATGAGTGTGCATGTATGTATGTGTGTGCTTGCATGAGTGTGTGTGTGTGTGTGTGTGTGTGTGTGTGTAGTGCTGGGAATTGAACCCACGGCCTTGCACTTGCCTAAGCAAGCAATCTTAACACTGAGCTATATCCCCACCCCAATTCGGTTCTCTTAGTCAAGGTATACTATAGAGTTCTGACTCTTTCTAACCATGTCACTCTGAATCAGATCTCTCTTTTATTTCTTTATAAAGAGTACTATTCAGATCAAAGTGGACATGGCCAGATAAATTCCAAATGAATTATTTTGCCTAGAGCTTAATACTTATCTTGCAATATATTTCCTGGTTATCTGTTCTGTCTGAATATATGCCACTGATCTGTCAGCTCTTTGGGTTTGTGTTATATCTTTCTATTTTCAAAGTCAAATCCAGTGACTGGTACATACTAACTTTCCAGAAAATGTTTGATAAATGAGTGAACTGGCAGGTGTTACTCCCAGATTGTGAAATCCAAAGGCTATTTCTTAATAAAAGGAATGAAGATTCCTTAAGAAATGGCTGAATCTGGCTCTGGAGCAGGTGTTTTTCTTTTTTTGGGGTAGGGGTGGTCCCTAGGGGTCAACTCTAGGGCCTCACACATGCTCTTCCTCTGAACTACATCTCCATGGAGCAGGAAATATTTAAGTTGAGTTTTTTTTTTCTTTTAAAAAATTTTTAATTGATTTTTAAAAAAATAAATAACAGTGGAATGCATTACAATTATTATTACACATATATACAGCACAATTTTTCATATCTCTGGTTGTATATAAAGTATGTTGATACCAATTCGTGTCTTCATACATGTACTTTGGATAGTGATGTCTATCACATTTCACCATCCTTGATAACCCCCTGCCCCCTCCATTTCTCTCCCACCTGTCTGCCCTATCTAGAGTTCGTCTATTCCTCCCATGCTCCCACTCCCTACCCCACTATGAATCAGCCTTCATATATCAGAGAAAACATTCGGCATTTATTTTTGAGTTTGAAACATGTCAGATCGCAAGGAATCTATAACGGACTATTTGATCTCTAAAAGATTTAGGAATCAACATGAAGAGCTTCTACTGGCCAAAGATGAAACAAATTGAGCATCAATAAGAATAATAATGTCAGTGAATCAAAACATGAAATATTTAAATCCATGCATCTATAATTATATTAAGAGATAAAATTAAAAAGCTTCTGCATAGCAAAAGAAGCAATGAGCACAGTGAAGGGAAAGATTGCACAATGGGAGGAAAATCTGCCAGCTATTCATCAGAAGGAGGATTTATATCCAGAATATATAAAGAATTCAAAATATTCATACCAAAAGAACAGTAATTCATTTCTCAAGAGTACAAATGGCCTATAAATACATGAAAAATGCTTAACATCTCTAGCCATAAAGGAAATGCAAAGAAAAACTACATTGAGAGTCTGTCTTACCCAGTCAGAATATCTGTTATCAAGAAAACAATTACAAATGCTAGTGGGGAATGTGGGCAAAAGGAACCCTTACACACTGTTGGTAGGAATCTAAATTAATAAAACCACTATTGATAAGAGCATGTAAATTTCTTAAAAAACTAAAATGAGAACTATCATATGATCTAGCTTTACCACTACTGGGTATATACCTGAAGGAAACAAAACCAACCATAAGACAAATACCTGAATACCTATGTTTATTACAGCACTGTTTATCATAACCAAGCTATGAAATCAGCCTAGGTGCTCATCAACAGATGAATGGATAAAGGAAGTTGTGGCATATTTATTTACACAATGGAGTATTTATTCTTGAAGAAGAACAAAATTATTTCATTTGCAGGAAAATAAATGGAACTGGAGGTCATCATTTTAAGTGAAATAAACCAGACTCAGAAAGACAAGCATTGTATGTTTTCTCTCATGTGGAATCTAGAATAATAAAAAAAAAGATGATATGAAAGTAGAAGTGGAACTATTAGGGAAGGGGAAGGAGACCTGGGGAGGAGGTATCGAGGGTAAGAGAAGGCAACAGGGAGGGTGGATACAATCATAGTATGTTCTATGGTTATATACATATATGAAATTTTCATAATGAAATCCATTATTTTTATAACTAACATGTGTTAATAATTATAATAAAAAGAGATGAAAAGGAACTAATTGATTACCATTAGAGAATGTTGAAGAAGCAACTTCTTATTTTAAAACTGTATGGAAAAAGTTTTGGGGTGTGTGTGGGGGTACCAGGGATTGAACTCAGGGGCGCTTGATCACCGAGCTATGTCCCCAGCCCTATTTTGTATTTTATTTAGAGACAGGGTCTCATCTCACTGAGTTGCTTAGCGTCTTGTTTTTGCTGAGGCTGGCTTTTTACTTGTGATTCTCTTGCCTCAGCGTCCCAAGCTGGTGGGGTTACAGGTGTGTGGAATTACAGGTGTATGCCACCGAGTAATAAATGAAGAAGGAATGTTGGATTATCTCCAAATTACAAACTCTTATCTAATGAATCTCAATATTAAACATCAAAGACTGCTAGAATCAAACAAAAACAACATCATTGGAGTATCCCCGATGGAAGAACAACCAAACATGAATGTGATTAAGCTGTCTACCAACTACCAGTTTACAGCATATATATAGAAAGGAATGTGTTAAACCATTTTAGAGGGTTGCAGTTAAATTATTCTAGAGGGATGCAGTTAACAAAATCTGAACTACTGGAAATTATAGAATAAACAACCTGGTTTCTTTAACAAATAAATTGTAAGATTAAAATAAAAAAGGAGGAGGAACCTTTGAATTAAAACAGGTTTAAAAGATGTATTGATCAGTTGCAATGTGGATTTAGAGAAGAGATAGAACAGAGAAATATGAGACTCAAAGAGAAATATGTTTTAGTCAGTCTGGTTTAGTATTGTCACCATTTTGTACTTACAAAGTAAGCCTTTTAACATGAATGAAAAAGTGTTTGAAGGATTAATATGAGGAAGGATTAAAAGATTCACATATATAGAATTTTGGGTTAAGTGATAAAAGTGGGAAATTATTTAAAAAAATTTTTTTTTATCAAGGAGGAAATAGTTTCTATTCCTAGTAGCAAAATAAAATAAAAATTAAAAAAAGAAAACAGGAAGAATAAATAAAAACTATTTGAGTTTAAAATGCATTAAAAGGAAAAAAAAACACCCAAGAAAACCTTGTGGGTGAAGGTGATATACTTAAAAGCACTTTGGAAAGATTAGTTATATTTTTTTAAAGCAGTATACTAAGTAGCTTATTTTACATGTCCTTTAGAAAATAATCTAAAATATTATGTTAATTATGCTCATTCATCACAGACTGCATTTGTATCTCCGGAGGGTTTAACAGTTAGATAATAGTGTAGTGTAGAGTTGACCCCTGGGGGATTTGGGGTCTGCTTTGGGAAAAAGGAAATGCTAAAAAGGCAGAGTTCTGAATGTCCTTCTTCTAATTGAATCTGAAAAGGTCTGTTTTTCTTTGTTTACATATTGGATTTTTTGCTTAAAATTTGATGTTGTCTTAGTTACCATATGCTTTCATATATCTTGAGAATCTGGATAAATAGATTAATTCAGTGACCCATCCCCATATTTTAGCCTATGGAAATTTTGGCAACCATAAGAATTCCATTGTACATGAATTGAATAAATAATATATTATCCTTAATAGAGATAATTGGAAAAAATGAAACTAGAGGTTAAGAATAAAAATAAGGAATAGCTTGGCATCGTGGTGCATGCCTGTAATCTCAGCTACTCAAGAGGCAGAATTGCAAGTTCAAGGCCAGTCTGGTCAGCTTAGTGAGATCCTGTCTCAAAAAAAGAAAAGAAAAGAAAAAAGATTGGGGATTGGGGATATAGTTCAGTAGTAGAGCACCCCTGATTCAACCACCAGTAACACACACACACACACACACACACACACACACAGGAAGGTAATATGGATAGTAAATAGTAATAGAATTTCTTGGGGGGGAAAAAGCTTTGAGGAAAAATAAAATAACAAGGATAAAGGAAAGTAAAGTTTGGACTTGCAAATGAGAATAGTAGGGTAGATAGTGTGAGAAAAAACTGAAGGATCTGGGGAAGCAAGAGATGGGACCAAGAACCCTGGAAGGTGGGATATAGGACTGGAATTAGGAGGTAGAAATGGACATTCCTGAATTACAGTGAAATCAGAAAAGCTTTGAGAATGGGGAAGAAAGAGTTCAGCAGGGGAGGAAGACATTATTCAAATAATTACTAAAATATAAAATTGAATGTATTATAACTAAGGATGCAAAGGAGAATTACCTGTTGTTTTTATATTGTGGGGGAAGCACTAGCTGAGCAGCTGAATTAATTTTGTGTGCATGTCACCTCTCGGTACCAAGTGGCTTACAGATCTTGCTATCTAATTTCTACAAGACTTTAGATTGTTATTCTTTCTGAATCAGGGTGTATAGATGAAAGCATGGTCAGCAGTAATAGTGGCCAGCCATGACTTTGGCTGATTCTGAAGTTAGTTCCAGTGTGGGATTAGGTCCTTCTTACTG